CCCATGGAAGACCAGCTAAAATGCCTGAACTCTGCTTCCCAGTTTTGCATGAGCAAGTAGGAAAATGTAGGTAGGCATAGAAAACCCCAAAAGCAAAAGCAAACATGAAGTGAGGAAAGCGTTAACTACAAAAGTTCTTTCTTCAGTGCGTGCATGTTGGTTTCGAACAGCAGGCTGGAGTCAGTACATTCGAAAACTTACACACTATAATTCTTGGTGCCTGCAGGCATCAGCCACACCAAGCTTCAGTCTAACCCTAATGACTTGGAAAAGTCTTTGCATACTTTACAAGGAGCTGGACCATATTTCAAAACAGACTTTTTTAACAGAAATTCAGGTTTCAGTGGTGGGGCAGCATGGGTAGAGTATATCAGTGTTCTTGAACCAATGGCTCACTCAAACTGAACTTCCCTTATCCCACTTCCACTTTTCCAGAGGCTGTCTTTGACTCTGCAGAGTGATGACACATGAATTGTAGACTAAAAGGAGACTAAGTCATGTCAAACAAGTTTGTATAGGAAGATCACCTGTAACAACAAATTAGAAAGTTGATGCATTAAAGCCTGTTAACTTTTTAAATGCAATGAGCTGACCTGCTCTTTACCTGTTCCAAATGGCAAAAAATGTGAAATTTGAAGAATTGTTGCCTTTCATTGGAATGGCAGCTAATGTGATGCTGACTTTGTGACATGCTTTAGCATGTTGAAGCTTCTCAAAAAATAATGTTAATAGACAAATTTAATTAACTCAATGCTGAAAAAAACCCCTAAAATCTGCCCTTGGAACAGATTCCTTTATTAAAAATAAGACAGAGCCCCACACAGTCATAGTATAATCCATTTATTAGCATAACTTGTGAGCCATTGGTGGTGATCCAGGGGACATGACAGCTTTGGCACTTGACTGATTTCAGAGGTACTCAGCCCTTAGTAGAAAGGGATTTTAATAGGACTTGAGTGGGCTACTACACAAACAAGTTTCTGATGTGGAAAATTAAATATTTTTCCAAACAGTCCAGGAGATGTGCATTAGTACAGGTCACAGTGCCTTGTTCTACAAGGAGTAGTCTCAACTTGGTTACCACCAGAGGTGATTCTGTTCTCTCTAAGAAACTCCCAGAAAGTCTATCAAGATAGTGTTAAATACCATAGTGTAGTTTCATCTCTCTGAAGTTTTCATCTTATTGTCAAATATGTGCATTAAAATCCTTCTTCAAGTAGTTGATGAATCACTGCAGCTCTTTTGAGGTGAAAAGACTTCAGGATACAGGCTTCAGAAAGAAAAGAAGACAGACAAAAGACAGATCTACCTCTGTTACCCCTGAGATAGCAAATGCCCACTTTCCTTGTTCCTCACCAATGCCTCCAGTCATACCTTAGAGAAACTTAGAAAAACCTTAGAGAAACTTAGAGAAATCTGTTATTTTCTGCTACAGTTTTACAGCGGTTACAAGGGTAATTGACATCTTGTCCAGGTTAATAAACAGCTGCCTGATTAATTATAGCAAAAAACATAATTCATAGAATTCATCAGAACAGTGTTCAGCTACAAGAAAGTGATAAATCTTTAATCCAGCTTCAGGTAGCCATAGTATGTACAGGTTTGAGATAGTACCACTGCAGGCACTGCAGGTCAGAAAGATCCCAGTACTGGGGCAGCCTTTGGAGCACTAGAGTATTCTCTCAAGGAGGGATAGGATCAGCACTAAGAGCTGCTCCTTAGATCCTTACCATAGCCATGTTTCTACTCCTGCCAATGCTTCTAGCCACTCACAGTGGTATTCCCTTTCCCACACAGCCACGACGTGCCACTCTGCTATGGAAAGCTCTCTCAGAGCATCCATGTGGCACAGTGCAGCCACCAGCAACACTGACTGATCTCTCAGATCCTGGAACCAGTGCACATGCATTAGCCTTATTCAATGGATTAATGCTGTGAAGGTGGACTGTCTTAGCCCTCCACATATGTCAGCACAGGAAAAGATCTACACAGCTCTCCAGGTGCTCCCTGCCCAGAGTTCCCCAGACAGACCTACAGCAAATTCTGTGAGCTCAGTGGGACAGCTGCACCTACCTGAGACACAGAGAGAGCTAATCTCAGTGGGTTTTCATCCCCTTGAAGCAAGGCTGCCACCAAGACCACACTAGCAAGTTTAAAACTAGCTCCAGCATACAAACATAGCACTGAAATCACTTACAGAATTGCTGCTATAGAAAACTGGACTCAAATAATCAGCAGAGGATACAGCCTCCCCTGGCAAACTGCATTCAGTTGTTTACCAAAGTTTAAAGACCCACCAGAAAGACACAGACAGTCAGCATGATATCAAATCCCCTAGACAGTTTGGATTGAAGAGATACAGAGAAGCCAATCTTAGAAAAGGAGCTATCTCTAGAATAATACGTAACAGAGAACATAAAGCCAGGCCCCTTATTTCCTCTTGTGGCTGAGAACACAAGGACAGATGTTACTTAATGAAAACAAAAGGCAATTAATTCAGGAACCACAAAAAGAAATTATGTGCTATGGAGAATAAAACTATAATGGTTTACATTGACAGAAAATACTGGGATTGAGAGCTTAGATTTAAACTAAAAAAATTTAAACATTTATATGGAAGATGAAGGCTGGTTACATTAAATAGTTTTTACAAGTTAGGGATATAAACTTTTACACTTCAGAAAAAAAAAAAGAATGACAAAAGAATAGTGCAGTGTTTGTACAGCACCTAGAGGATCAAGTATTTGTACTTCCATTTTTAATGACGATAATAGTAATGCAAGTAATTAATTTAAATGGGTCAAGAACAAAATTCCCCAAAGGAAAGGTTGTTAAAACTTGTTCAGCACAACTCATACATACTATTCTTTGAAATATCTGCTGTTGTCCAACATTACAAAATACAGTCCTAGGGTGACTGAGTGCCGTTCATCCAACCAGGCAGTTCCAGTAAGCCTCAGTGGCAAAGCACATGAGTTTGGTTTGGGCCACAGTCCCAGGTTAAACAGTGAAGAGCAACAGCTGTGTCCTGAAACAGGCCAGGTCAATGTAGGAGAGTACTTCCAGGCTCACCTACAGCACCAGAAAGGGATAAAAGCAGGCAAAGGAGATTGGATACTTCCTTCCCTCCTCCTGGCTCATGCAGGACTCAAAGGGTGTTAATTACAAGGATTCTCACAGCTTTCATAGTGATAAGGTCTAGGAGAAAGAAATATTTTTAACTAGAACATGGGAATTTCAGAACACAATGCCAGGCCCACATCTCACTTACATTAAATGGTAATTTATGCTAACTCCTGAATGGCCACTTGCTAAGTAAGCTTAGGGAAATAACCTCACAGCGTCATCCTTTGGGTGTTTCTGTGCCTGTTGGGGTTAAAGTGAAAGATCAAACCAGGTTAAACTAGAGATGTCCCAGCACCCAAGGCACAGAAACTCCATTTGAGCTGCTGTAGCATGCTGGCTCAGGGGAAGCTGAAGGTAAAAGTCATATCCCTCCATGTTTCCCAGACAGGTACTACTCCTGCCAGTGTAGAACTTGGCATTTCATCTCCCACAAGATGAGAGGTCTGTGGCATAATTGCCCTCAGTCCTCTTGGCATTTTAATTCCTGGGAGAGAGGAGCAGTCTGCAGCTTGCATTTTAGAGACTCTGCCAGGAGCCATAGGACGGCACGGCCCATGTGGAACCGAGCACAGTGCTGCCAAAGGATCAAGTCTGGCATTTTAAACAGGGTTCTCAGCACAAAGCTGTGCTGAAGACATTCAGCACCTCAAGAAGAGGCACAAACAGATCAGGTTTGTCTCAAAGTCCTGACATTGAATATTTCAAAGATGCCAACAATTCTTCATTAAATAAAGTTTGCAAGCAGGATTTTAGAACAGTCCATTGCAACACTGGTAGTCCAACTATCCTATAATACCTGGAAAGGGTAAATTAAACTGGTTTAGTTTAGCCTTCACACACAAAAATCAGCCACCCAGTCAGGTCAGCACCTCTACATTAAGCTAATTTATAGAATACAAATTAAAGCTTTAGGAAATCACTACTTTTTGAACACAAGGCAATTTCTGTCACCATATGCCCTGTAATATGACATTGCTAATCCACAGACTGTGCTCTGACTTCTGTTCTTGCATTGGTAATGCCTAGATACACCTCGATGTCCTGAGTGCAAACCTTCCAGACAGAAGGTCAGTGCCTGACCCAATTGTTGCCTACCCAAAACATGCACATCTGGCACAAATTTCACATGTCCCATCCTGTATTATCCTCCACATTCAAGCCCTTGGTTATACATCTAAGCTTTTTGCTCCTCCTCCTACACAGACCTGTCTCCTCTCTGCCTTATCTGTACACAGTGAGAAAATGCTGCACTGCACAACTATTAAGGCACTTAGCCCTTCTGTCTACTTACATTTTTTACTACTCAAGAATAACACATTAATTTTAAAAAGTGCTTAAGGCACAAGAGGGAACTCTGTTCATTTGTTTGGATGAGACAGAAAGAAGAAACTGTAATATTCAATAACCCCTGCTTTCTCTCAGCATTATATCTGCTCAGGCTGAGAACTGCAGCTTGATGACAGTCCTTGCATACCCTCAAGTTAATCCAGTTTACTCCCACTGAGAGGAATGAAAAGAGAAAGAGTGCAAAGAAGAGAAAAAAGGAAGCATGGCCCAGAGGTTTCAAGAATAGGACATACTTCACAAAAGTGGGAAGCTGCTTTGCAGCACACTTACTGTTTTTCACAAGGAGTGAGTAATTTGCTTGAGGTGTATCTATGCCCCAGGAGTATTACCATGTTTCATGGAAAACTGTGAACACAGAAATACTAAAGACTAGCAGCACAAAAAAAGGGCAGCTAATAACTATGATGAATAAGGGACCAGTAGGAAGTCCCCACAGTGCTGTTAAATCTGATTCAACACCTCAATGTTTGAGATTAACATTACATTTGGATTTAAGAAAAATGACAAGTCTGTTCATCCACTTGAGGTCAGATTTTTAAGTTCTTCATAGTGATCACGAGGGCAAGAAAGCTACTGCCTCTCACACCAACAACAGATTCTAGAAGATGCTACTTAGGGGAAGCAAAAAAAAGTCCAACCACACACACAAACTACTATAGCAAAAAAGCAGCAATAAAATCACAGCATCTGGCAGATGGAAATGTGTGACAAAGGATTACAGCAGAAGGGACAAGCATCTCTTAGTCTAGGCAGACACTTGAAAGGGATCCTATGGGAGCAGACCTACTATTCAGAAGAGAAAAGGTTCCCCCTAGAGACATATCAGGGAAGCTAAAAAACCCAACTGAGCCTATTCCTCAACTCAGGTCAAATCTTCTGATTCCTGGAACTGCAAAGAGCTGTTATGAAAAAAAAAAAAATCTGAGGATTTCCACTATGCCTACACCTGGTGCCATCTTCCAAGCATCTCACCTCTCCTTGCAATATGTTTCAACTTTCCAAACATACGACCATGATGTGTGCCAGGGCAAAGGAATAAGTGTGATTGCATTAAAGAATTCTGGTATTTAGAGGAACGTGTACTTAGCATTGTTACCACTGTGCACCTGCTTTCTCTGCTTACAGATTACAGACTAAAGTGAAACCAAAGACTTTAAAGAATCGGTCCTAACTGTTTTCCTTCCAGTTCCACATTAAAATCTTTTGCCAGTGTTCAATGACAAAATAAATCTCCATCAGTCACAGGCCAAAAGCCACAGCCTTCTCCTAGTGCAGGGCCAAAGGACCATATGCTGAAATTCCAAGTGCTCAGTCATTTTCATTTTAGCTTGGTCACTTTCTTGATCCAGGGTACGAATTTGCTGACCTTTGTGTACACACCGGGTGAATCCTTCCGACCACAGCCATACCCCCAGGAAGTGATGCCCAAAATGATCCAGCGTCCATTTGATCTCTGACACATGAGTGGCCCTCCACTGTCACCCTGACAGCTGTCCACCCGTTTATCTTCAGAGAGGTTCCCAGCACAAATCATGCGGTTGGTGAACTTCTGCCCATAACGAGCCTCACAGTCTTCCCGTGGGAGAAGGGGCACCACCCCCTGCAGCAGGGTTCTGGAATAGGATTTCCCTGGAATAAAACAGACCAGCCAGACTGATTCACATACAGGCAACAGTAGCAACCTGGTGCAACAATGCTCCCTAAAAAAACAGACACTTAAACATTTCATGTCAAGTCTGCAGCACAGAAATAGGCTGAGGTCAGCATCTCTGAAACCACAAGAACTTCAGAAAACAGTGATGCCAAGCCAGACCACAAAAAAAGAGCTGTAAGATCAAAGATATGAGGAATAGGATTGTAGAAAAAGGTTAGATCAAAGGATGAGTCTTACTTCTGATTCTGTCAACAAGTAACATGAACCTTGTTCAGTTTATCTCACCTCTCCAAATCTCAGTTTCCTCCTCAAGAGGAAAGAAAAGACAGTATTTTCTCAAGAAAATAAATGCAGTAGTATCTGTTAAGTGCTCAATCCTCAGAGAAGTTTTAGAAGATGCTTCAGAGGCATTCAAATACTATTCAAAGGGAATTCCCTTCATCTTTGGCCAGACTTGAGTCTATTTGATCTCATCTCTTTACTAGCCCAGGGTTGCCCAGAACATGAGGCTAATGTGTTATATTAGAGTATGACCTTTCTGTGCCCAAGGTTTATGTAAATTCACAAGGTAGTAGGTGACTGCTCCTCATTAAAAAAGCTGGGATTGGTGCGTGGGAAGGATTCTAGCCACTAAGCTCCAGTACAGCTTAAGGTAGTTACATGGCTAAGTTGCTCCTTGATCCACCCCAAATATCCTGAAGTGACACGTGCAACTGGCACAACTGGACTCCAAAGGCAAATACGTACTTGCAGTTAAAATGCTGCGGTAATAGCTAAGGAAACAGCTGAGAGGGACGGGCAAGTCCAAAACCAACAGATGAACTTCTGGGGCTTTTGGCAGGAAGTCTTTCTGAACATGTGGCTTTTTTCCAGTCATAGCAGCCCCAGAAAGGCCTCCATGCACCCTTTTACCTAGGAAGCTTCACAGCAATATGTTCAAAGAGGCTAGATCCAGGCTGTCTTGAACCCAGGGCAGAAACCAGACTCAAGAGTCCATCTGTCCTTGCAGAAATACACAGGGAGATTAAGCAAGGTAGTCCAAGAGAGATTTCTCACTGAGGGCTCCTTCTACCTCTAAGCCCTCACTTCACTATGATAGTACCATGAAGAAGGCAGGTCATGGAAACATGGGGGCCTCCCACAGGCTTGGGAGCAGCTCTGCACAGGCTGCTCCCTTAGGGGTCTGCTGTGGGCAAACACATGTGTAGAAATGGGAAGAAAGAGAGGACTGTGGCCAGATGGCAGCATTGGTCTCTCTCACAGCTTCGGAGGGATGCTGTGGAAACCAAAGCTTTCAGCAATATTGAGCAGGCTCAATAAGCCTCAAAATCAGATGAAAACGCAATAGCACAAAACCCCACTCATCTTCCTATTCCTTAGCACTGTGCAGTGGCACAGACAATGGGAGCAGTGAGAACATAGCCTTGAATTGACATAAATTAATGGCCCATGTAGGCTGCTGAAGGCAGACTTCCTCACCTCTCTTGTCTCAAAGCCCCACCACTCACCTGTGTCTCCCCAGCCAGAGATGATGCAGGCTTGCCTGTTGATGTCAGACCTCTCTCTCCTGTGAGGCAGGCAGATGGGCAGAACGTGGTGATTGAAGGAGAGACAGTGCCCTTCTCTGCCCCACATCCGGACCAGGGCTATGTCATTATCATTGCTGCCAGCCCAGTAGTTCCTGTGGAGGACAATCCTCTCCACAGGCAGCTCCCTCTCAAACTCGTCCTTCACACCTGTGTGGTAATCGCCCACTCGCAGGAGGTAGCGCCGCACATCAACACCAAACCTAGAGAGAAACAGACTCAAGATTTCAATGTTCCTACTAAGAGGAAAGCAGACTCACACAAGTCTCAGTTACTATGATACTGAACCACCTCCTCACACCACAGTGGTAAAACAGTTCCAGCTGCAGGACTGTGGGACCTCTTTAGTAGATATGATCATGCCAGCTGTTGCAGATTTGGTGTGCCAAATCACTATCTACCAGGCACAGGATTTTTTTTCCCTATAAAAATTATTATTATAGTTGCAACAGGCTTGTGAACTGACCTGTTCACAGTTCCTTAAAGCACCTAAAATGTCAAAATGCTGGTCCCCTTTACACTGTAAAGCCTCAGAGTTAAGAGGCCAGGTGTAAGCAGTGAAGGAAAAAGCAAGTCTAGTTATCCCCATAAGCACTCCAAGATCACACACATCATAACCTGAAGGTCTTAGTTTAGAAACTTTGTTCATGTAGTTCCACTGGGCTGAGGAGGATAAACTTGTATGAGGTTATCTTGTCCATCATTAAACATCCCTTGGGGCTCCCCAGTCCCAAACACACCTTTTGAAGCAGTGGGCTGCAGTCACCACCCAGCAGCTGCTGATCAGTGTTGCTCCGCACAACAGACGAGTGTCTCGACGAAAACCCTTCAGCCGCAGTGAGGCCTGCCATGGCCAACTGCCTCTGAAGAACAAACAGGAATAAGCGGTCTCACACACGTGGCAGCCATTTTCCTCTTTTCCCATCCACTCTGTCTCATCTGAGCTTAGCTGGCTTGCATTCTTCCCTAGATACTGCTTCAAACCAAGTTCAAAAATCAGCAGTGAAAATGCATTAATGTAGTCAGCATCTGCCAGACTATTTCCTTAGCCTGAAGGAAAGCTGGAACCAGTCTGACTCAGCAATTACACGGTGGTACCTCAGAGACTTGTTTCCACCTATGATCCTTTTCTTGCGACGGTGGAGCAAGCGCATCCCACACACACCAGACTCTGGACCTGCATGGCAAAGTTAGAGCAGTTGGGTAGAGACCTTCACCTTAAATATCAGCATTGCTATCACAGAGCCAAATACCATTCAGCTTCTCTGAGAGCATTAATCCTCAAGGTAATCAACTATATTGTGTTGTGAATGTGGAATTCACAGAACATTTGATCCCATAGGTTTCTTTAATTTCACTGGAGGTGCTTACCTGAACTCTCTATATTCTCACACCAAGAGTGGGACCTATACTTATACTTCCTCAGTACTCTAAACCCCAAAGGTTGCTTATGGGTGCTGTTCTAAGGAAGAGTATAGTGACTTGGCTGTGGGGAAATTCTTCAGGCTCAAAGGCCTGATAGGGGTGGAGCTCCTCAGACTAATTTGGAACACTCTGTGCTGCTAAGAAGATACACTGAATACAAGAAAAACATAGGAGGTGCAGGACAGGACTTGCTTATTTTGTAGGTGAAGTTTCAGCCAAAGACAAGAATGACAGGGAAAAACCACAAAAGCATGCAGAGATCCTACAAACAGAGCTCCACATTCCTGCACAGAAGAAATGGGAATGTCACCTGTTCTCCTGATATCTTGGACCTTTTCTTCCACATAGTCACAGATCACCCCAGCATCCTCACTGTGCCAGCAGCTGTGAATCCTGGTGTCAGGCGTGGCACATTGCCCCAGGGCGTGCTCCATGCCACTGCATTCTATGTTTTCCAGATGGATGGGCCCATGGCCTTCGCCAAAATAAGCCATTGACCTGGCTTTTGCTGTGCCACTGCAATCAGAGAGAGGGTGGCTAATCTGCAATGAGCAGGAGCCAAGCGAACCTGAGGCACCAGTGCATTTTAAGTGAAATAATATTTATGTGTCACTCCACACACAGACAGTAGTAGAGTGAGAAGAGCAACCTATTCACTCAAGCATATCTGGGCGTGCCAAAACTAAAATTAAGCCCCCAGAAACAAGTCCAGAAGTGCTCCCGAGAGCTGTTTCTATCTGTAAGATGCCTGTACCACAGCTCTTACCTGAATCCCAGCTGCCTGCAAACCACAGTGGCATCTCTGTCTGTCCAGTCATCATCACAGACACTGCCCCACTGCCCATTCAGCAGTACCTCAACCCGGCCCTCCTTGGCGTTTTCTCCATCCACCAGCCGCACAGGAGGCCCTGAAGGAGAAAACATATAGGCTGCTGCAAGCAAAATAACCAGAAGGGTCAGGTGTCCAAAACTTGGGTTCTACAGAAAAAGATTAATCCCAGACATCAGTAAGCTTAAAACAAAAAGAAAAAAAAAAGGAAAAAAATAAAAATAGAATAAAATAAAGAATTGTGTTTATATGAAGACATTTTACCTCTGTGCTGAATCAGAAGACTATATACATACTAATTTATTTAATACATACTAGAAATCATCAGTGGATCATACTCTGAAAGCTGGGTAAAGAGAAGAACAAGAATAAAAAGTTATTAACTCCTAAGACAAAAGTTAGACAGCCTTAAACATGCCTGGGGAAAAAAATCAATTTAACTGTAAAACTATTACATGAGTCTAAGTAAGAGAAGACTTCTACATCCAGGAAAAACAAAAATGTTGGATGCCAACTATTTCAGCAAATGTCTGACAAACTGGAAAGTCTCCTATAGTAAGGAAAGAGGAGAGTATCAGGCATTTGTATAAATGAGGAAATTATGCTAACTTGAAATATTTTCACAGTTTTAATTAGAAGTGCGCCATCCACACAAGGGAGTGCAAACAGTAACCCCCCTTCCATCTGAAATCCTCCTGTCTTGGCAAGGTGTGGCACTAATGTAACCACACCTAAGTTTCCTGAAAGGTCTAGTTAAAGGGTTCCCTTGAGCAATGGCTCAATAAAGCAGCCACTGTCCCTCAGTCCCTGAGGTTTGTTTCAGAGACTGCCAATACAACTCTCTCCAGTTTCCATTTATCTGCTGGTCTGATAGTAGGTCTGGTCCCAATTCAGCCAGGGCTCATTCCTAATAAAAAAGCAGACCCCTTGTTGAAACAGCACAGGGAAAACTCCCACATCTGCCAGAGCTTCCAAGAAAACAGACCAGAAGTTGAAACTTTCCCACTGTTCAGAGCAAGAGCATGGTGAGTTACCCAGGCTGCCATCCATGACCGTGTTGCTTTCTGGGGAACAGCGGACTCCCAGATCCTCAACATGGGAACAGTCATGCTGCCCCCAATTGCTGTGGGGACAGTCCAGGAGAGACAGCTCTGTCCCTACACATGCCACGTCATCCAGTAAGATGAAGCCTTGGCCAGCAGGATAGTCTCCTTCAGAAGCCAGGGCAGCAGGACCACTAGAGGAAGGACAGAAAATAACATTGAAACTCTAAATGCCATACAAGGACCCAAGCTCAGATCCAAGGAGAAACTCCCCTGCTTAACTGTGATACTGGTGGCCTCCTGGCCTAAAATATTCAGTGGACACACAGGACGGCAACCGAGCACCCTCACATCTCACCAGCTTCAGTTTTCAGGGAGGCCTCCTCAGACCAGTCAATTTTCTAGTGTTTGGTCAAAGGCATGTTCAAAGCAGAGGCTGCTTTGCAGTTATGGCAGGTACATCAGTTTAGGGAGGGGCTGGTAGAGGAGGAATCATAAATGTCAACATTTAAGTAATTCTACTTCTTTTTATAGGAAACAGCTACCTGGAATTGAACTGCAGAAAGCTGCAAACTTAGGCAATAAAAGAGATGACAAATGTAGTATGTAGCTGAACTCAAAGGGAAGAATTTAGTTTAGTCTTTCTTTCATCTATAAAATGGAAATTTTAGAAGGAGGACCCAATCATGTTTAAAAAAATCCACATAACCCCATATTACTACCTCAAAGGCAAGAGTATCCTGATTTTAAATCTTTCCTAACTCCTACCTGAAGGGATGACAGCTCAGCAATGGGTTGAAAATCCCTATTACTACTCTTTTTGGCCCTGATGGTCTTTGTTCAGCTACTGAAGGTGATACATTTGGAGCAGATAGGTATGATTTTACTGAAAGAGTAGAAGTGACATCTGCAAATTTAAGGAGCATTAAAGAAAATTCTCTGACTTTGCTGAGGGGTTCATAAGGACAGTATTAAGCCTGTTATCTCCTTTCAAAACAGGCTGAGGCAAGAGATAATAGATTTATTTTTGCCCCTTGGAAAGGATGTGGATACCTATTAATCTTTCCTTAATAAGTTGTATAATGGTAATAAGCCTTCTAACAAAGACAGCATTGAAGGATTAAAATCCGGCCTATGCCAGTAAAGGGTGATGGAGTCTAATCCTTGAAATTAGGAAGCACAGACAGTACACACTCTCAGTCCTACCTGAAGCCCAACTGCCTGCAGACCACTTGGGCACCGAGGTCTGTCCAGCCATCGTCGCACACCGTGCCCCAGTCTCCATTGTAGTAAACTTCCACCCTGCCTTCGCTGGGGCTGCGGCCACCAGCCAGCCGGACCATGCCCTCTGCAAGGGGTGGGAGAAGGAGAGGGCCAGCACTCAGCAGGGGAGAAAAGAAACAGCCTGGGCACTGCTGCTAGGTCTCTGTACCATCCACCAGTGAAAGAAACAAAAGACACAGATGTCTGTGGGTACTCAAAATACAAGTGTTCATTGCTTCCAAACATACTCATCTCTCAGGGAGGATTGGCTTCAGCCTTTCCACACTACCTGAGCAAAACCATGGGAACACCACCAAGTCTGCCTCTGTTCTACTCTCTGCCTCCACATCTGACAGCCCTTGTGGGAGCTGTATATGGAAGCTGTGCAGAATCCTGAACCAGGGGGTAACCTGCTGAGCAAGCCAAGTTATGTGGGGGTGAGACCGACCGCATCTGACTGGCAGAGCTGTACCTGTGAAAGGGTCACAGGACACCCCAGCGTCTTCAATGTGGTCACAGTTTTGCTGTCCCCAGTCACTTTTCTTGCACTGATCGAGGGAGAGTTCATTCCCTGAGCACTGCACTTCATCCAGCAAGATTGGGCCAGATCCCTGCCCATAGTGAGCCCATGACAAGGCTTTTGGGGTCCCACTGTAAACATAACAGACATGTATGCTCAGTAAGGAAGGCCACAGTCTTGTGTCCTCAGATTCTGCCTTGCACAGGGAGTGTCCTATGCTGGGTCACTGTCCTCCCATAGGTCATCTGTATTTTTGACACAGTGGAGTTGACAACTGTTAATTAAAATATGTTATTGTAAAGTTTGTAATGAGCCCTTCCAGCAAATAACAAAAATGTTACTACAATACAAACAGTCCAGACTTCTGCAGACAATGACATAACCACAGTCTCAGTTACAATCTCTTAACAGGCAAAATTCCTAAAGATTGAAGGATCTCAAATTTGAACAATCTATTTTAAATAATGCTGTACTGATGTGATTTTCAAGAATGCTCAGTAAACAACAGCTCCCATGTTAAGCATTGAATGGCACACAGAAAAATGAGGTGATCTTTCTTGCTTTCCTGTCTGAAGAGGATAAGGGCAGCCAGTGAAACTAGAGGTGTTTAAACTTAAGCAAGTAAGCAACTGCAGTTCACATATGAAAATCACCATGACAACTTGTCACTGAGGCTACCAAGATTTGTATTAGGATGTATACAAAAATGATGAACAGTAAACACAAACAGTCCTGAGACAGGAATATACTTTTTTTTTTTTTTTAACACAGCACAAACCCATAAAATTGACAAGAATGGGGTACAAAATCCCTTCATAGGATGATCAGTCCAGAAGTGTTTCCCAGGGTTTCTGTATTTCTCCTATAGGTAGTATAGTAATGGGACACTCATGTTCTTCATTCTGCCTACTTCTATTACTACTCCATGACATACAGCAAGGAAATTACCTGAGTCCCAGCTGTCTACAGACTACTTCAGCATCCCGGTCGTCCCACTGATCATCACAGATTGTTCCCCACTTGCCATCATGGTAAACCTCCACTCGCCCTTCAAAGCTCTCCTTCCCCCCAACTATACGAAGTGGGGCACCTACACCTGTGCTTCAAGAAAGGGAAAGAGAGCACAACAGAACAAGACAGAGACAAATCACATCCAGAAGTTTAGGGTGTAGAATCATTCTCTAGCCAGAGGAGCTCTTGTGATACTCTCTTACCACATCTTCCTTTCTAGACCCCCCCACAAGTACTTGTGATTGCAGCCCCCAGAGTGGGGTACTGCTGGGCCAGAGATGCCTCTTTAATTGGCTGTTATGATGACCAGGAATTTTCTGCCTGCAGACAAAAACCTGGCTTGATAAAAAGGGGATATGGTCATAAGCATCAGCCATCTTTGGGAAATTGAGATCTTTCCCTGGAGATTTACCTTGTGGAGGAACACAAGTTACCACGGCACTCCCCTGGTTACAAGCTCCTGACAGAGCTCCCTGATAGCCACACTGCAGCAGGGCTTCCTCATCTCCATGGCAGTTTGCTGACTGCAGGTGCAGGGGAACAGGCCATGGTCTGGAATGACTCTTCTTCCCAGCTGTGCCGATCTCACTGGTACAGAGGATGCAACAGAGCAATGAAATGCCACAGCATGGCTTCACTTACAAGTTCCCTCCATTGTCATGACTCTCCAGTCTAGTTGTGGCATTTCACATCCCGGTGTGCCCAGTTAATTGGAAGTGCATAAAGGAGTGACCATTTACAGGCTAATGGGAAAGCACAAGCAAGTACACAACACTTTCTAATCCTTTTATGTGCCCACCTACTGTAGAGGAGTTGGTGTATTCAGAAATGGCCCACTCGTTTGAAAGCAATGAACAAATCCATCAACAGACACAAACAACAAACTATCTGAATCACCTTCCCTATCCTGTGGACCTTATCTCCTTACTATTTTGAAGCTTGAATGTCCAAATCCCAGATACCCAAAGAGAGTTCATACTCCTAAAATTTCTGTTAGATCACTATAGTAACTCCAGCTGATGATCATAAAAAGGGAATGTCATCTCACAGCTCACTTTCCACAATCAGGAGCATGAAGCAGAAACCATTGTTTTAAAAAATTCTTGCAAATGCCAGTTAGGTTGGGGGTAGCCACAGAAAGAAAATCGTGCAAAAGGACCTTGGTAAGTGGGATATTAGACCACAAAACAAACTCCTTTCTGCCAGCCAACACACTCTGACAGAGGGACTGTAACCACAGGGGCTGCTCTTTCAAAAACCACACGAGCAGGGACCTCTCACAACCAGACCAAGGTTCCCACCTGAGACCTAGTTGCCTGCAGACAACACTGGCATCCCAGTCAGTCCAGTGGTCAGCACATATGGTACCCCAGAGTCCATTGAAGTACAGCTCCACACTACTGTCTTCAGCCAACCGCACAGCACCTTCCAAAAGAGAAAACAATCAACCTAAAACCAGCTGTTATCTGCTGATAGAAGTTTCAGACCACCAAGTCTTGGACTTTGCATGTAGCTAAGCTGAACTGTACTTGGCTTCTTTGATCCCTGTTTTACCTATGCTGGCACTAAAGTGGTGTGCATGAAAGAGTGTGGTATATGGCACCTTCCCAATCCCATCAATGTCTGCTTGGGAGGATGGCTGATGTTATGGTCTTTTCAAATCCATGGTAACACCAGTAGGAAATTTGGCTTCTGCAAAAGCTCCTGGATTCTCCTTCTGTGGAATGGGGATGATTTTACATGCTATCTTAAAAGGGTGTATGAAAATCTATCTAATTACTTCTGACACTCCACTGATCTATTTCCATCACTTCACCTGCATGACTCTGTTGCTATATGAGATGTTCAGTAACAGCAGATGGATCCTCTTTAATTTCTCTAAGAAAAGGAAGTGCCAGTGTAAATACCCTTTCAATTCCCACCCCACCAAAAATGTTACCACTGTTTAGAAAGCACAATCTCCTCACTCAGTTATGTATTTGTACAAGGACACACCTGTCTGCAGTACCTCAGTGCAGGCACACAGCACCACTACACTTAGATTCTTCCCTTTAATGAAGCCATCTTTGAAAGGACATCCACTGGCAAGGGAAAAGACAGCCAATTCATTTATTAAATTGGTGTTTCAACTGTTCTGCAAAATGCAGGGAAAGCAAGGAAGGTCAGAAAACAGGACATTTTCAAGAATGCTGCACAGCAGCCAATGCATTGAGAGAACTCAGCTCCTTGCTAGCCTCAAAGTAAACAGTAGTCCTTCTGCCAGCACTGAGGAAGTTTAACACAAGCCTATGACCTGCCTTGCCACAGAAGATTTTATATTGAAGAAGTTTATATTTGAACTGCTACACTTACATGAGGAGTGCTCTGATATGGACTCTAAAGGAGCAGAAGTGGGTTGTTTTCTACATAACTGAAACTGTCTTCAAAGTGGCATAAGTTAGCAGTAGGAAAAAAGTAGTCTCCTTGTATGAGAATAAAACATCTATACAAGGCATTACAGCTACAGCAGCTTAAATCCACCCCCTACTATATACAGACGTTCTTCTCCCACAGAGGCTAGCCTCCAGCATTAATTATTTCAACAATTCAGATCAGCCTTTGTACTGTACTTTTTCCACAGGGTGTTCCACCTGCCACTTGCAAGTCTGTGCAACGCACATTTCTGGCTTGAGCCCTGAGGCAGCACAGCCCTTACCTTGGTTACAGTCACAGTTGGCCCAGCCAATGGCTCCTGACACAAGCCTGTAGAAGCACCAGGGCGTTGTTCCCCCGTCTGGGCTCCTGCAGAAGTTGTGGTCCCCCAGGCCACGGTCTGGGTACTGCTGAATATAATCAGGGAACTCTGCCCAGTTGAGACACTCTGCCCCAGCCTCGGTGACTGCCAGTGAGCCATTGTAGTACCCGAGAGGTCCCACAGCACAGACGCTGGGCGCTGGGCACAGGAAGGGAGGGTTAGCATCACCCAAGGCATCACACACTGAACATGGGAGACACCAGCTGCTTATGAGAGATACCCCTTGTGTCTGCAGTCTCAGCTGCTGCTTGCTTGACTCAAATTCTTATCACTCTTCAAGGAGCTGCTCAAAGAATATTCATAATACTCACTGTCTAAACCACAAATTGATCTGAAGCAATGAACTGCCCAGACAGACCTTTGAAGAGTGTTAACTTAGGGCCCAAACATGATCATTTGAACTGGCTCCCATTACTGTACATGCAATACATGTACTCACTTTGGAGCAGAACTGTGCAAAGCAGGAAGGTGGGAAATGGCACTGTATCTCATAGCATGTATGTTCCCTATACACATGAGCAGATCATCTGGCTTCTCTGAACCTGGTTAATATATTGGAAGGGAAAGGGAATATATTTTGCGGGAAGTGCAAGTGCCAACGTTTCAGTTCCCATGTGAAATATTCAGTGTAAAAATACCCAATAATGAATTTATTACGGTCCCCAACAAAGGAGAAAACTCTCCATTAATGGCACTGAAATAACAAAGTGGGAAAAAACCACCCAGGTTTTGTGGCCTTTATCGAGTCCATAACATGAGAAGAGTAGACTGAGAAAGGGATATTTACAGCTCCATTCACAAAATAAACAGAAAGAAGCCAACACTTTCAGAAAACCCTTCTGCACCGGGAGCAAAGAGCAAGGGTACAAGGTAACTTTGCATCATGTCATTTGCCTTCTAGCCACTGCCAGGCCCAGAGGGGGTAAGTGACAGCAAGGTCAAATGCAAGGTACAAAAATGAGAAGCAGTTGGAAGTCAGTACCAAGCATTTGGAAAACAAATAATATGTGTGACATCAACTGGGACCTTCAGAGATGGTGTCTGAGAATTCATTAGTTATTAGAGCAGAGGAAAGGTAAGCATGCAAAAAAGACCAAGGCAAAGAAAGAGATTAAAGAAAAGAACATGTGGGAGGAGCAGGGAGCTGCAAGAGCATTCAGCATGAAGGAACAGAAGTGGCCATGAAGGAGATAAACAGGCACTGGGACAAGAGAAAAGATTGAAGAAGTGATGAAAGAAAGGAAGAAGGCAAGGTAGCAGTCATGCCTATGGTCTCAGATCACCACTGGAGGAAAGAGTCTGCCCAATGACTGAATTAATAACTTCTTGTTCTTACCTGCACTGTGCAAATGGTTTTGGTTGGGCTTGGATCCCAGGAAAGCCTGGGAAAAGAAACAGAGCAAAAGCAGAGAGATGATTATCCAATGAAATAAACATGGGCATGTCCTAAAAGCAGCTCAGCTTTAGGCAAACACACCCTAGTGCCCAGCCTCTTCCCTGGTCTCCCCATTGCTCCTCTTCAAATACAACCATAGCTCTGTCCACTAACAACAAAATGAATAATTACTGGTCTGCAGAGATTTGCCCTTGATCTAAGCACTACATTACTGAAATCTGCTTGGTTTTTTTTCCAAAAGATTTGGAAGTCTGAGTGATATGCCTATGGAAAGGAAATCTAGATGAAAATCATTATTTTCAGTAAGAAAAATAATAACTACTCATTCTCTCACTGTTTATAGGGCAAGTAATCTACAGCTATAGAAGCAGATATTTATCTACCTGAGTGACAGGATGATGCCCCCAGAATACCTGTTAAAATGGTAATAAACATCCACGTATAAAGCGGCAAACATCCAAGGAAGAAAATCCAAGGCCTTTTGAGGATGTTGTTTTTAATACTTGAAAATATTATATGGCCTATGGTGTTATTATCTAAATGGGGTTAAATAGCTAAGACCAAAAAATATGAAACAAAGTCCTCAGAATTCTAGCATCCTGTCTGGCCCCAAAATTGTATTTCCTCTTATTGGTAGGGGTTTTTTTTGTTTTGTTTTTTTGGTGGGGTTTTTTTTGGTTTTTTTTTTTTTTTTTTTTNTTTTTTTTTTTTTTTTTTTTTTTTTTTTTTGTGGTTGTAATGTGACTATAGGCTGAGAGATAGAGATCTCCACTCAACATCACTACATGGTGCACAAGCAAGTGCAAGACCTTCACAGACTCAGAGTGAAAAGAAAAAACTGTACATGCTTATGCTAGCTCCTTGTAGTTTAATTAGTTTTTAAACATTGTAAATGAACATTTCTAATACTTTTATATGAAGAAATAGTTGTAATTCACAGAGCAGAGATGTGCAGCTAAAGGATACTAGCTATTGGTAATGGTTGTGGTTTTCTTCAAAATGCAGTAATTTTGCCTCTCTCAGCTTCACCTCTTCCTGGAAAATAGGAGAAGTTAAATTTGGAATTAAACCAAATCCACTTCTGGAATAAATAGAGGTAATTCCTACAGAAACCTGACAAGAACAACACTTATTCATGTCAGATAAATTTTTCAAATAAAGCTTATTAACATGATCCAGAAGGTGCTGACAACCACGGCCAAGCTCCAGCATCACCTCCCAGAAGTCAGAATGGGATATGGAAGATGAATTCCTGACATGGTTCAGTAGTAACAGATCAGATCCCAGGTTTATATGCACAAAAGGATCACAGATAAACCCTTTTCAGGCAAAAAAATAATCTATCTGCATGTAACAGTCTGTTGCAAGCCCACATAAGGGTTTCTGGACCAACAACACTGAAGGATCTCAAAGCTCTTTGCAAAGAGTAGAAAGTGAGCTAAGCTGTACTTTTGTGACTGCACCACAATCCAGGTCCCTCAATCCCTAGCTTTTAGTGCACACCTGCAGACACATGTAAGCCTGCCAGTGATATAAGGATGGGTCAGACTAGTAATAGGAGATAGATGAGAGACTGAGCTCTTCTTGGACCATAAACAAAATACTGCAGTCCAAGTAATAAGCTTCCCTTCTAATGAAACATTAGTTGCTGCCAGTTTCTGCAGCAGCTTCTAAAATACCCCAATGCTGACCATCGCCACCAATTAAATTCAGTGCAAACAGCCTATGCTGCAGGCATTGTCCCAGGTCTGTGCAGCTATAAATCATCTGTCCACAAGCAAGAGAGACAATCAGCAAAGAACAGAAATAAAGGATCTTTCCTGCCAGGGTCACTGCAGTGCCTGAGAAACACTGGAAACCCAAGCCAAAGCATCTGCAAGCCCTTGTGTATCCTGCTTTCCTGGTTATTTATTTTTCTGAATTTATATGCACAATGAAACAAATTTCTCCCCAAGCCCCCAGTCCTTCTCAGAGACAACTGCCTAAATGCTCTAGAAAACATATTCAAGTAATAACAATATCCACTTAAAGTGACAATATTAAAAGAGCCATATGACTTATTGCAATCAGATAGAAAAACAACCTTTTCTTACCTGCACACATCTGAGACAAGATAGCAGACTTGAGAGCTCTACCAGGAACCCGAGTATTTTGGCGATTTCCATCCCTCGTGTACAAATAGAGCAGAAGGCTCTTCAAGCATCACATTCTCATTCAGCTGCCAGGGTCTGCTTTCCCACGCTAGCCGCTCCGCACCGGAGGGAGCGGGGTGCCGTTTCCATTTCTACGCAAGGAAAGGGGTGTAAGGAGAGCGATCAATGTTCCTCGCAGCATCTTAGAATTTCACTTTCCCGTTCCTCTCCGCACCTCTTCTCATTGATTCCTCTCTTCAGAAAGGGAAAGAAGAGAGGAGGGAAATAAGGGAACACAACATGTCCCCGAATTTCTCTAGCACACTCGAAGACGGGCGGAGGCGAGCACAAGCGGTGGGGCACAGCCCTCAGCCCGCTGTCCCCTCCTCTCCACAGGCTCCCCCGTGCTCCAGGTACGCGCTGCTCCCAGCGCCAGCCTCCGCCTCCCCGCCCCTTCTGCCCAGCGGCGGGGCCAGCCGCCCGCTCCTCTCCTCTCCTGCAGCCTCCTTCCCCAGCTGCCTTTTCCTCCTCTTCCCAAGGCACAGAGGCTGCAGCACGGCAAGGAGCTGGGGCTGCGTCCTATTGCAAAGCCCCCAGCAACAACTGGCAAAGGCAACGGCGTGTGCGCGCACATTTGCCAGAGATTAGACTTCTTGGAAGGAATCTGGACTTTATCCTCCCCCCACCGCTGCCTCCTCGATTAGCAGCTTGCAGCTTCCCGAGGTCAGCTCTCCTCAGATTTGAACCCAGCTGAATGGGACCCAGAAAACTTTGTTGAGCAACTTCTAGATCTCCCCTGGAAAACCCAAAGGTGACACAGCCCTCTCCAGGGTGCTCACAATTTTCAGCCCTGTATCATGCCATCATGGGTATTGCAACCAGAGAACTTTGCCACTGAGTGTCTCCTTGACCTTGGGCTATATTTTCCCTGAATTGGCTAGGATGCTTTGCATACGGTTAATTATTATTGTATTTCCATGAACAATCCCATCCCATGGGATTGTTGGCCATGAACTTGCTGGTCCTTCATATGAATTAGGGTTCAAGGCTACAAGTTTTAAACACTATTAAATCTAAGAAAACAGTTGGTTCATTTGAAGCTGTTCAGTCTTAGTCTTAGAAATCTTTTTTTTTTCTACAGGTTCCTTGTGCTGCTTCTCAGCTCAGTCTAATAGGCATTTCCTATACTCCTATTCTGATTTTGGAGCAATGCTCCTGGTGTTCTACAGCATGAAACATGAAGGTCACCTTTAGAAATGAGCTCACTTCTGGCCAAGTCTGCTGAGTAGCACTTCCAAAGACACCTTCAGCATAAAAACAAGGAACCAGCTGCTAAAAATCTACTGACTTGACAAAAAGTCTCTTTTTTTTTTTTTCTTCCTTCACTTTTGCCCATTATTCACTTCATGTGACAGTTTTGTGTTGCCTCATCCTCAGTCACCCATCAAAGGGAAGGAAATTTCCCTACATGCTGGATCTTTTACAGGAGTCGCTAAGTGGTAAAAAGAAGCTGTTTCTGGAATGGATTTGGCCAAGAATTACACTCAGTTAATTAGGAGCAAATCTCCTATATCCTCATAGTCAGGGAGGCAGACGATCAGGGCAGCAGGGGATGGAAATAGCTTAGATGCTACATCAGACTGTAACTCTCAGGCAGCAGCAGCACAAAGAAGCAGCACAAAATAAAAATAAGGGACTGTGTTAGAATTTAGAACCACTTACTCCACTGAACACACAAGGAAAGGACATACTGGAAGCAGGAACAGAAATTCTATTAGCATTCAGAGAAACTAGCTCCTTACTAGAGGTTGTTGATGCTCATTCAGAACTCCATCCCATGAGACACTCCCTGTTCAGGCCTCTGACGCACAGGGTTTAACACCTCTAGCAGAAGCCTGCACTGGATTTCTCTTTTGGTAACTTCTAAGTTGCCTCCCTGTCAAGGCAGTTTTCCTAAATATAGTGATTTAATAAAGTCATTTTAAAGGAAACACAGACCAGTACACCAAAAGCAATAGAAGTCCAAGCCTGTATTCAGTTTCTGGAAGAACAATGAACTGGGAAGATACAGTGGGTTTTGCAGTTGTCTCCTCTCTGACAGGCAGTGTTTTGGAACTACTTCCTTCTTACCAAGACTTGCCTAGTTTTTTGCACACATGTAGTGACATTCCTTGAGAGAAGTGGATCTCAGATTCTCAAAAGCTTCTCATGACTGCTCTCCCAGATGGAGAGGAAGAAAGGGAATTATACCAATATAGCTACAGCAGTTTAGATGAGTAATGTATCTACAAATAAGGTAAAACATCCTGAACTTTCTTGTATGGGCAAATTTGAAGTAGTTGTAAATATCTAAATATGCTATTTAACAGTAGTCACCTTCTCACCCTGATATATGCATAGTTCTATTATAGGAAGTTTATGATTCCCTATAGAACCTGTCTTGATTTTGCCATATTTTTATGTATTGACCCTTCTGAACAAGAAATGCCATCTTCTAAAATGTCCTTGGCTCTCTGGAATTCAACCTATTTCTCTTGAACTGGCAAAACAACTATTCATCAGGACCAGCTGAAATATTAATGCTACCTCCACAGTGAAAGCCTAAAAGTAGTTAACAGCAATCATACCCAGAACTGGTATAATAGTCAAGCTATAAGGTACAGGAATAAGATCAAGGAATTCCAGCAGATCTGCTTAAATCCTGTAAATCCGACTTAGGAGGGTAGAACAGCTAGTCAGCTTTTGTTTAAATCTTTCCTCACCACGCAACCACATACAGGTCTCTACAGCAACGTTCTTAACCAGTGTGCTCAAGAGCAGAACAGAGTTTTCCTTAGCCCCCAGCAACAGCATCGTGGGGTGGTACAAACCCCAACTCAGAAAGAACAGTGCTGTTCCCTGTGAGTACACACATGAACTATTAATGGAGTGATCCTCAATACAAGCATGTCACCTAGTACAAGCTTAATGGTGAGATACAGGAAAATGGCCAGCAGCTGAAATTGCCAAGGACTCCAGTAACTGGAGGGGTTTTGGTTACAACAAAAGAAGCAGAAGAATTGCTCAAGTACTTTTAAAGGAAGCACTGTAAAACCTGGGTGCACCTGAAAAGCATTGCTTCCTTCCTCTCAATAAATAAAAGGACTGGAAAACCTTAGCATAGTAATTTCAAGCTTATATATAGTAGGTTAGACAAAACCCCAAACAACTGAATTTGTGAACTCATCATAATGCAGTATAATGCAAAAATAGCTGTTCAGATTAGTGGGTGCTGTGCAAAATTTCAAAGTAAAAATAGGAAAAGGTATTAAGTGTCTCTGTTACAACCTCTTATGTCAGACTGTTTCTTGCAGACACAAGAATTTGGTACATTCAGCACAGGTGCTATCTTAAGAGATGCAGAACACTTTTATTGCAAGTTTTAAAATGAAGAAAAAAATCATCATCAACAGAGGTGAAACAGTTTCTCACTCCCAATCTAGCTTTTATCCTCCAGAAACAAAGGAACAGCAAGTAGCATTCCTTTTCACACTGTCTTCTGGACAGAAAATACAGAATGTCATAGAACCAAAGTGTTTTCCCAAACTCAGATGTGGATATTGTGTTCTTACTGACCCCAAGTCTTCTAAAACACCCAATTATGTCATAATAGCAACAAAAGAATAAGCTACCCTGGATTATCCACTAATGAGCCACTGTAATTAACCACTAAGCGAATGTTGCTTCACTAACTTGAAAACCTTCACCTGACCAAAATTTTTGTGATGAACAGGTATCAGTCTGGGGCTCCAGAGAACTCAGCTCCAGCAAACTCTACAGCCACCCATGAGTAATCACAGAGTATGTGTGTGCCCGACTCTCCTCTTATTCTGCTTCTTCAACACGCCCAAAAGAATTACCAATATAAACAGTTAGAACATTAGTTCTCCAGGACACTACCGGTCCCAAGAACCTGCCTGTAGTTTTGTGGTACTGCAGTGGAAACTGCCCCCCCACCCCCCGCCCCCATCAAAACTAAAAATGAATTACAAGAATTCTTGAATTGAAATAATTACATTATTTCAATTATCAGTATATGGTTTAACTGTCTCTCCCCCTTTTAGTTTTTTTACCAAAAAACAATGAAACATTTTGTTGTAGATTATGAGTTGCCCAGGTCAAACACCAGTCTTGCTTTATTACAGTACAGACAAAATAATCAAACTAATGTGGCACCATATCTGTCCCACCTGCAAATCAGAGGGTCAAAATCACAAACTTCCATACTAAAGTTATATTTGATACTTACCAATGTATTGTAATACAAAATACCAAGGTATTTTGCTGGAGATTTTTTCTACATTTTACAGCCTTTTTTTACAGTAGTGGAAATTTAAAAAATTTCAAAAGGCACCAGATTGTGTATACATCCACATAAGAATACGAGCCACCATACCATCAATTACTACCATCATTACTAGCAATTCTAACTTGGCTCAGTGTTTGTTGTGCTCAAATGCTTATTGATAGCGGCTCCAGAGCTGGACAAGAAGCTCGCATGTGAAGAAGTCATGCGCTGTTAGGAAATGCATTTACACAAATGCCTAGAAGGTTTTATTTAACAGTGAGGACCTGAGTAGGCAAGCTGAACAACACGCTGCAAGACCCATGAGTCTCATGAACAAAATCAGCCGATACTCAAGATGGGTGGTTCTTGCTCTGGAATCAAAAGCAGGGTCAAGATCCACACATCACCTGCATCTAACCATCACTTAAATTGACTTTCCTTTTTTTTGACCAAGACACCAACTTTAATTGCTTGGCAACAGTCCCTTTTATAAAGTACATTATACATAACGTGTGATCTGAGGAAATCTCTTCAGGAGCTTGTTCACTTTGCTTGAAGGCAAATTTCCCCTGGATGACATGGTGTCCTCATTTTGATTCTTCCGCTCTTTCTGAAAGAGAAAAAAATTCAAAATATTTACCGCTGTATTTGCAGAGCTGATGCTCATTCCCAGAGACTACTACTAATTCTATGAGGATGTTTTTTCCAGAAAAATGCTGTTTCTTTAAGGAACACTTACCACAGCATTTGACTCAATAACATAAGCTGATGACCTTAAAATTATGCAAATAATGACTGACATCTTGTGAAGATTATGTCCTTGCATATTCTTAGTTAACAATGATATAAGTAACTGTTTAAATTATGACACTTACTGAAAAAAAATGTAAATGTAAATGAAACCAGTTTAAGGACAAGTTTAATATATATACTTATCTTTAGTCCATTTGAAAAATTATTTTATTTCAAGCTTATTATATACTATTATTATAATATGTTACTATATAAAATATAATCAGAAACCTCTAATTTTCAAACAGTATGAAATGTATTTTTCAAAAATGTCTGGCATTCAAAGTCAGAAACAGGTTGGAAAAGACCTCCAAGATTATTGAGTCCAGCCTTTGATGGCCACCTTGCCAGCTAGACCATGGCACTAACTGACACGTCCAGTAATTTCCTGAATGCCACCAGGGATGGTGACTCCACCACCTCCCAGGCCAGCCTGTTCCCATGCTTCAGCACCCTTTCAGTGAACAAGCTCTTCCTGATGTCCAGCCCGAACCTCCCTTAGCACAGCTGAAGGCCATGTCCTCTTGTCACATCACCAGTTGCATGAGAGAAGAGGCTGACCCTCACCTGGCTGCACCCTCCTTCCAGGTAAATGTAAAGAGCAATTAGGTCTCCCAAACCCCAGCTACCTCAGTCCCTCCTTGTAGGAGCCTCTAGATCCTTCACCCATTTCACTGCTCTTAGTTGCTCAAATGGGTCACAATCAAATTTTTCAGAGATTATTCTTAGTGGCACACAAAAAATGACTGGAGGCTTCCTCTTTTCCTATTACTAGCCTTTAAGAACATAAAAAAGGCCTTCATTACTTCTGCCTTTGCCACGCAGTCGTAGAACATCCTGATCTCCTCGGCACAAGGCGCGTCGTTGAAGTCATTCTGTTTCCAGCAGGCCATCATTACTGACATCTCCGTAATGCAGGTTGCCTCTGGATGGGAAAGACGCAATCAGAAATCTCAGGTGTTTGGGATTTTATGCTAACAACCTCCACAGTGCATACATCTCCAAAGACGTTTATACGGGGTAGATACAGGCGAGAAAATGCGCAACTGAAGATCCCAGCTTTGCTCTGGGCAGAGAAGTTGTTGCTAACACAAAGCAAACCGCTGCAGCCATCCAGCATCTGACTGAAGTTTTAAGGTAAAGGCAATGCTACGACGCACGGTGCCTGACTCTATTACGACGCCAACTCAGGGCTGCAGCGTGAGGAAGCGACACGCACGAACCCCGCGGCCCGCACCGGCCCGTGCCGTCCTGCCCTGCGGAGCACACGGCGCCGCCAGCGGGACGGGCCCTGCCGGGCACGGCGGCGGCTCAGCTCGGGCCCGGCCTGCCCCTCGCCGCCGGCGGCTCACCTGTCGCCTCCTCCCGGCGGTTCGCCACCTTGTCGGCCAGCGCCAGAGCCCGGGGCGGGCGGAGCGCCGGGGGCCGCTTCTTGTTCCGCCACTGCCCCGACACCCAGCGCGTCACCCAGGCGGGGTAGGCGGGCGCCGCCATGGCCGCGCGGGAAGCCGCCCGCCCGCGCAGCCGCCGGCCCGCCCCGGGACGGGCCGTGGGACCGAGCGCCGCCCCTCAGCGCCGCCCCTCAGCGCCGGGCCTCAGCGCCGCCCCTCAGCGCCGCCCCTCAGCGCCGCCCCTCAGCGCCG